GAAAACCAAGACCTCTCGCTATCGTACAATTGGGTGTAAGATGGGATGATGAGCCGCGGCTCACCAGTTCGCACAAAAATGTCACTGCCATCAATAAAACAATCCCCACACTTTCGATTTATGCTTCCTCTCAGTGAAACGTTTGGCAAATTTCCTTCTGCAAAGATCTTAATAAATTGGCTTTTTGACGAGCTGCAGTTATTATGTGATTCTACATCTGTGTACCCAGAATCTCTTTCAGTTGCTTTGGCCAGCACTGCGTCAACTCTTTGTTGATCTGTTGACGATCCTGATGTTCGTTTCATTTCCTAAAGGGATCGCTTGCTTAGGACTCCTCCAGCAGGTATACTTGGCAAAACTTTAGCCGTTTGGGTCTCGAGCACCATCAGTTCTGAGCTGGCCAGACAGAATTTTATGAATTCCACTAATTAAGCCTTTCGCCACCAACTACTTGTAAGTAAGCCCGGAAGCCTAGCCAGTGTGTGTTTGCTGCTGGTATCTGCTATTACCTGCACTATTTTGCGAACACCTTTGTCCCCCAATGAATGCTAAGACTGCTTTCGTCACTGAAAGCTAAGGTTGCCTTTCCGAATGCTTTTGCCTGAAGTTTCACAATTATCTCGACCAGAAGCCATTTGCCGCCTTTATGGGCGGGCCTTTGATAATGACTTAGAATAAATCGACGACGGGACAGAAATTACTTTATTTTTAGTTTCCATATTCAATTTTAGATGGAGCAGCGGTTTTAAGGGTTGTTGCGGGCTAATGATACAGATTACGGTTTTAAACTTTCGGCATTTACCGCTGACGGCGATGAGGCGTGTATGGCGCAAGCGTTTCGCAATATCCAAAGTGCCCCAGTTCGTCAAACAGCATGTTTGCCAGTTTTCCCATTTATCTTCTCTTCCAGTGTATGCAATTTTGGCGAACTGCCCATAAAAGCGTGTTTCTAATTCAAAATATATCAATTCTTGTTGCTGCTGTGGCTGCAATAGATAAACATTTGAAGCAGTTGCACTACTGGTGTGAACTTTGCACCAAACGAAAAGCCAGCAGTCTTTTACAGCTTCTGTTAGATTTAACCAAAGCATTTCAGGCCCACTGTATATAAATGTTGCGGACAGTGACGCGAAGCAAAGTAACGGGTAGATACTCAGCTGCATATATAAGGCAAGGACAACGGCTGTGACAATAGTGCTTCGCAAGACAGTAGGCTCAGAGACGTATGGACAGCAGGAATGACCGTCAGAACTGTCACAGCTGAGAACCACTAGCTCGAAGGGTCGTCGTCGTCGAGCCCTCGAGAAGTACTACCGCCTATAAGCTGCAGATGAACCAAAGTTTTTGTACTCTGTATAGCGTAACTGATCTCGATTGGGTATGGGGTTTGTATAAACAAATATTTTGTTGTAACCCGGGCCAACACAAGCTTCCTCTGCGCTTAAATTTTTTTGGTTGTCCTGCTAGCCATTATTTAAAGGTAAGTAGAAAATCACGAGAAGGAAAAAGAAGAGAAGGAGAACGAAGCGGAAAAAAAGGAAAGGGAGTATTAAAATACTTGTTATGGTAAAAAATGTTTCGGTCCGTTAAGTCGCATACATTTTTTACCGTTACCGTTATGTCACTTCAAGTGTCAGCATGGTTTTCCGTGCAATTTTATTTATTGTCACAATTTTGATTTATTAT